TAGGAGCTGCTGGGAAACCAGGCTTAAAAATGGATCTAGCTGAAAGGCAAAGCACATATTTTCTCAACGGAACAAATGATTATTAGTGTCACAAAGCCATATATATGGACATTTTTTGACTTGATCTCAGATATCTTCTAATATGATCCTGGGAGAACATTTTCTCATTAGGGTAAATTAAACCCATTATGGGTGCTTGGAGAGCATTGCAATAACATGTACCTCTGTGGTTCTGTCATTATCTTATTTTATCAGTGTTGATCGTAAATTTACTTACCTCCCTGGTTTGTACATACTAGCTAACCCCTGGTCCCTTTGTGAAGCTAAGATGACAGGCAGGCCAGGGGTGGTCTATTTGTACAACCAGAATGTTTAACCAAAATGTTCTGCTATGTGTTTTCTTTTACTAATTCATGTCACCCTATGACAAATTTGCTAAAGAACTTTAAACTAGAAACAAGCATTATGCAAGTGTAATAAAGACAGTTTGGGGGAATTCAATAAAGAAGTAATGACAATTTTATGGCAAGAGTTTCCATTAGCACAACCTTTGTATAATTCAGGCAAGTATTTGGGCCAGTTTGGGTAACACTACTGACACATATGCCAAATTTAGGCAGTTCTAATTGCTGCCATAAGAATCTGTTGCTATGTCAGTGGCCATAAAATGAAGGTAAACAGAGGGGCTAGCAATAGTAGTGATGTCTTACCCAAATATGGCAATGCTTGTATTTGGGGAACAACTTCAATTGGTGGATAGGCAGAGCCTGTTGGGGAACTGAGAGACTAGTTCCCCCTTAGGGCCACCTTATTTTTGATTAACGGGATGGTAATGGGTGGATTCAAAAGCCACTATTGGATTGAATAGTGGCTGTGGCTCTGCCCACTGCAACATGCAGTCACTTAACAGCAAGGCAGATCTGATGGGACACTAATCTCTCAGGCTCTCCCCACCGCACTACAAAATTCTTTGGTCATGTGCCTGTCAGTGTGAGGGGTGCAGTAGCTGGGGAGAAAGCTCATTGAGGAAGATGTGTTGATTATGGACACTCCAACTTCCAAAAGCCAGATGCCAACAGATCCATGCACCTGACAATTTAGGTGTGGAGACTTGGGAAAATTCTAAAGCATGTCTATGACACCCTTTATGAATTGCCCCCAGTAATATATGAATTTATGAAACAGATATTATACTTTAAACATAATCTCCAGGAAAACAAATAAACAGATGAAATGCATATTGGGGGGCCTTGCTACCTGCCAAAGGATTTGAATTACCTGTCTATCCAGTACAGAGATTTGCACAGCCTTGATAGACAGCTCAGCCAGGCAGTGGAAACAGTCAAGACCACTTATCTTACGGTGAACAGAAAGATGTTTATTGAAACATAAATGTGCTTGGACATTCTCCAGGGAATAATGCTCATTTGATGTTCTGTGACAGGGGTATTTATACAGTGTAGAAAGCACATACATGATTGGTCAACAGACATTCAGGAAAACGTGATAGAACTGGTTTGTTAGCCACAAATGGTAGCCACAGTATGCGTGGAAATAAAACAGTAGCACATTACTCTGTAAATTACCAGTAATGGAGAGTTTATGACACAAACGTGAACCATTGTTTAACTCCTAGAGGCTCTCCTACTGCCAATTTTTTATACCTTTATTTGATATTCAGACTCATTTCTTTATCAATATCACTTACAGTGGTGTCCTCTCTCCAACCCCAGCCTTATGACTGGACAGTGGACAATCACCAATAGTCTACAGTAAAGCCAGCGGTAGATGGAGTGATTTCCTTTTTTGCAACCACAGATTACAAAGTAAGTGTTGATGGGGGAATCTCTCCCGTGGAGCCATTGTGTTCTCCCAGAAGGGGAGCGAGGGGAGCCGACCCTTCCAGGAGCACACTGATTACTGGATTACTGCTAGCAGGTATAATAGCGGCTAGCATTAATCGCATGTAAAATCCTACAGGCTGGTTGTACCCAAGTTGATCGATCGAATCAAGGTTACATGAATACATGGTTCAAATTTCGTCTGGTTCCAGCTGAACTGGCCTGAGATTTGAACTGTCTAGGGCCAGCTTAAGGAGGTCATCTCTCTACTTACTCTACTTTCTTCTGCTGTTAGCATGTTTTTCACTATAATTGCATGCAGCACATCAATGTCCTGTCTACAGTGCCACTATATTTTAATAAGGAATTACAGGAGACTGATACCAAGGCCAATTCAGATACTAATTAAATTAATAAATACATTTAATGATGTATTATTTTATACAGAGATACATTCATCTGTGTTTTTATATCTGCCTGGAGTTCAGCTTTAATATGTATGTGCTACGTAGACAAGATTACACATTTTAAACGCCTTTTAATCCTTGTATTATTATCTACCTTTCACAAAAAAAAAAATACACAGACAAAACATAAATCATCATCAATATGCATGCACACTGCATTATTTCACTAAACCAGTTTGTCTAGGTCTAGTAGTGAAGGACCTGGCCATGTAGCTTCCACAAGATTGTGAATAGTAGCACGTAAAAAACAATGGGAGAACAGTTGAAAAGCAGGTTTTAAACAATAGGTGAGTAATGCTAGAAATGACAATATATCAGCTGTCATAGTTATCTGCTTGGCTTGCTTTATGTATTTTGGTGTTATAGAATGTGACATTATTTAGTTGAGCACCACTTCACTGACTTTACTGTAGTCTATGTCTAAAGGTAATCAATGAATAAAAAATGGTTTTGTATCAAGAGTCACTCCACCCAAATCTGCTATTTTATTGCTTAAAGTGGAGTTCCAGTAATTTTTTTGTTTATTAAAAGTCAGCAGCTACAAAAACTGTAGCTGCCAACTTTTAATAAACACACACTTATCTGTCCCAGGGTCCAATGATGTGATCACCCATACCGTCCCTTCTCTCCCTTTTCTTCCCCTAGTGCTGGCATCTCAACTGTGGCCACCCGGCTGTGAGTCAGCTTGTGGTTTCACAGCTGGGTACTCGCTGCACATGCATGAATCATGTTGTGCCTCCTGAACAGGGGTGGACTGACAACTCATGGGGCCACCGAGCAATAAGAAATCATGGGACCCCTGTGTCCACGCCAACACTCAAACCACACCCAAAAAAAGCCCGTGAAAGGTATAAGGGGCATCTCATGGGGCCACCTACTGACCTCGGGCCTTTGGGCAGTGCCTGAGTACCCGAATGGTCAGTCCGCCCCTGCTCCTGAATGGTCCAGCAGTCTTCTGGGACATGTGAAGAGTCCCAGAAGGATGCGGGCGGAAGGAGGGGGGCTGAAACTGAGCTGAAAGTGTGGAAGTGGGAATGGGTACCTGTCAAAATCAGGTACACGCTGCCCCCCAAACATGGCAAAGGAGGGGGTGGGGCAGACAAGTGGAGCTTCCCCTTTTGGGTAGAACTCCACTTTAATACATTCTGGTGAGTTAAACTACAGCTGAGTAAGAAATGTGCTTGGGTTCCTGGGTTTGCACATCTGCTGTGGTCAGTCCCCGCTCTCCAGTTCATTCTATATAACAGATAATACAAACGTAGGAGTTAGTACACAAAAAGATTAGTGGGAACATCCAGATGTGCCAGGTGGACAGGACCAAGTTAGGAAATATGGTAAGGAGATCTTGTTAATGGAGTATCTATGACAAATAAGAGTCCATGAGCTGATTCAGTCCACCAGTACCCACTCATGTGGGAACATAGACATAAAAAAAAAAACTGACACTGGGTATTAAACTTTATACTTTATCCAAACCTAGAGATACATTTAAATCAAAGCCAACAATCAGTTTGAAATGTTTTAAAAGTTTGAGTTTAATAGGTGACTGTGAGAAATATAGCTTGTTTTTTTCAAGACACTCTTAAAATCAAGTCTCACTGTGAACATTCCATTATCAACTGCAGGTAAATCTGGCTAGACCCAACCATCCAACCATGTGCAGGCAGACCAGTCACCAGAGAAGACCAGTAATGACTGGTAAGATTATCTAACCTGTAACGCTCGGTCAGGTTGTGGATTGCCCATTGGAAATAAAGCTGGCCAAATACAGATTGAATATTGTCCGATTTGTGAAAATTGGCCAAACTTTGTTCATTTGCTGGCCTTGTCGAAACCACCCTGCTCTGCAAAACTCTGCTTTTCAATTGACTTTTGCCAAAGAAGTCAGGTGGAATATTCTTGATGGAACAGCAAATGCATCCAATCAGGTTCAATCACAGTTCCGCTGTTATGACAACTGTGTTTGTGGGCTGTCAGAATACAATAGCCAGCACTGCAGATCTGTCCATCCATGCTTCTAAGCAAGAATGTACAACTGAGGGTAAGGCTAGTTGTAGAATGCCGCTTGATACAGCCAAAAACAACCATATAGGAAGATTGTAATGTGCTGTTTACAGGCAATGTTACCGCTGTTTCTTTGGATAGATGAAGTGGCTACTACCAACATTTTAAATTCTCTCTTTGGGCATAGCCTATGCTTCAATGCCTTTCACAAGTAAAGTATATATATGTATATATATATATATATATATTTGTTAGTCAAACAATTGATTATATAAAACTGCCCTGCCTTCAAGTATCACAATCGCAAGAAAATGAAGTGACTCTTTGCTGAATTGTAATCAGAACAGAGTTCACGTGTCATAAATCTCTGATTGTACCCTTGCCCTTTGAGCAAGACTTACATGTATACTGTATGTCATCTTCCCATTAACCTATCATTTTTATTGCCTCCTGACCCTGATCTTAAGAATATACACAAACGTTCTAATGACAGGTTCCAGAATTCCAGTATGGTGTATCTCCAGTCAAAACATTTTATTTTATAGCTTTAGTGTATACTTTCTGGGATTAGTACGAGGAAGAGTCCAAACCTGTGTCATTTTAATTTCTGTGCCTCTGGAATAATTCTCTTTACTTCCTATCCTGATGAGCACTAGCTTGCTATAACCACCAGCAGTGATCATTGTATTCTGATGGCAGGGAAACTTCCTGCTGTCAGAATACAATAGTGCAATGGAAGGGATTCCCCCATCAACACATTGAGCGATTTTCTTTCTTTCAACGCATGGTTGGAAGCAGGGGTGGACTGACCATTAGAGCACTCGGGCACTGCCCGAGGGCCCGGGGTCAGTAGGGGGCCCCATGAGATACCCCTGGTACCTTTCATTAGCTTTTTCATAGGCTTTTTTGGGTGTGGGCGAGGACACAGGGGCCCCATGATCCCCTATTGCCCGGGGGCCCCATGAGTTGTCAGTCCGCCCCTGGTTGGAAGAAAATTGCATAATGTATGGCCAGCCTTAAGTCTAGTCTTACTTTCAGTGTTTTCTTTTTTACACTTTTCACTGAAATACGCTATTTTGCCAAAAGTGTTGGGACACCCCACCAAATCATTGGATTCATGTGTTCCAATCCCCTCCATGGCCACAGGTGTATAAAATCAAGCACCTAGGCATGTAGACTGCTTCTACAAACATTTGTGAAAGAATGGGTCGCTCTCAGGAGCTCAGCAAACTCAAATGTGGTACCATGATAGGTTGCCACCTGTGCAATAAGTCCATCCGTGAAATTTCCTTGCTACTAAACATTCCACGGTCAACTGTTAGTGGTATTATAACAAAGTGGAAGCAACTGGGAACAACAAAGTGGTAGGCCACATAAAATGACAGAGTGGGGCACAATGCGCAGAATAGTCAATAGCTAAAGATCTCCAAACTTTGTGTGGCCTTCAGATTAGTACAACAACAGTGCGTAGAGAGCTTCATGGAATGGATTTCAATGGCCAAGCAGCTGCATCCAAGCCTTACATCACCAAGTGCAATGTAAAGTGGTGTAAAGCACACCGCCACTGGACTCTAGAGCAGTGAAGACGTGTTCTCTGCAGTGAATCCCACTTCTCTGTCTGGCAATCCGATGGATGTGTCTGGGTTTGTCGGTTATTGCATTATGCCAAGTGTAAAGTTTGGTGGAGGCAGGATTATAGTGTCAGATTGTTTTACAGGGGTTCAGCTTCGCCCCTTAGTTCCAGGGAAGAGAACTTTAAGGCATCACCATACCAAGTTATTTTGGACAATTTCATTCTCCCAACTTTGTGGGAACAGTTTGGGGATGGCCCCTCCTTTTCCAGCATGACTGCGTACCAGTGCACAAAGCAAGATCCACAAAGTAATGGATGAGTGAGTTTGGGGTGGAGGAACTTGACTGACCTGCACAGAGTCCTGACCTCAACCCGATAGAACACCTTTAGAATGAATTACAGCAGAGACTGCAACCCAGGCCTTCTCATCCAACATCAGTGCCTGCCCTCACAAAATGTTCTTCTGGAAGAATGGTCAAACATTCCCATAGACACACTCCTAAACCTTGTGGACAGCCTTCCCAGAAGAGTTGAAGCTGTTATAGCTGCAAAGGGTGAGCCAACTCAATATTGAACCCTACGGAGTAAGACTGGGATGCCATTAAAGATTATGTGCGTGAAAATGCAGGTGTCCCAGTACTTTTGGCAATATAGTGTATCTTTTGGGTGTTGTTCTTCACTTGTCAATGCTTCTCATAGTTGTTTTTTTTCCAATTTTTATATATTTCCTGTAGCCCTGATGAAGGAGGATAGAATTAGCCCGGGAAACATGGCTGCCCGTTGCCGTCTTGTGGAATCATTAACAGCTTTGGATACCTAAAATGTTTTATTGGTACTCCTATTAGCTTGATCACACTTAGAAACATTATGTAATAGATCAATTACTTCTCCCCTTCCAGTTGAAAATGGTAACAACTAGTGGTGGACCATAATGAATATTTTGGACCGAAACCAAACTTCAGGATGCACTTAGCCGAAAACCAAAACTGAAAATGGAAATTTTTTTTTATGTTTTTCAATATAGAATTATATTATATTAGACTTTCTAATTATTAGCATGCATTTAAATGAATATGAATTTAAAAATTACAATCCAGTAATATAAAATAACTTTTATTGAAAGTAACACACAAAAAATTGGACAGAAAATAAAATGAAATATGAATAAAAAAAAAAAATTTTAATATGTTGTAAACATTTTGTATTGAAGTCAATAGGGGATATTTTTTGCATTGAAGTCAATATGACATGAGTTTGCATCGAAGTCAATGGGACACGAGTTTGCATTGAAGTCAACGGGACATGATTTTGCAATGAAGTCAATTGGTCACGATTTTGTATTGAAGTCAATAGGATGTGTTTTTGCATTGAAGTCAATGGGAAGCGATTTTGCATTTAAGTCAATGAGACATGATTTTGCATTGAAGTCAATAGGGGGGATTTTTTTCACTGAAGTCAATGGGAAGAGTTATCATGATCAGCACTTTTTTTTGTTTTTCTATCAGCAAAACGCTGATAACCCTATTTTCGGATGATAATTTTCGGTGGCCGATATCGGTTCATCACTAGTAACAACTCCATATGTGCCAAATTTTCACTTTGAAGCTATGTCAAAGTGATGGGGCGTGGAGTCCAGAGCATGAAAAACAACAAATCTATTGGCTCATTGTTCTTGGTTAGAGATGTGCCTGTCTGTGATTACCCTGGAACTTTGCCAGAGACAAGCAGAAATTGGAAACATGATTGTACATCAGTTGTGCAGAAGCTGGGGAAGAGTTAGAACCTCTGTCTGGCTTTTATTGCTCTCATGGGTCTTCATTAGGGAGATTTTCCCTCTATACCTGTTTGTCACTTCGACAATAGATGAGAACAAACTATCCCCAGTGGGGAAACAAACAGAAGCAGCAGAGGTTCTAACTCTTTTCTACACTTAAAACCTTACTTACTGTGCACCCATGGCAGAGATATTCCAATATCTCTTGTAAATCCACATAAATCTCCCAAACAGGTCCATTTACAACAATGAAAACCCAACAAAGTCCATCCAAAAAAATACAGACTCTTCTGGAAACATGTGGTTAGTTAATGTGGACATTAGGTAGAAAGAATGTTACCGGAGCTTACCAAACACCTCACGCATTTACTAGACATGGATTTGTGATACGCATGACAAGCACTTGATGGGCTTTTTAATAGCCTTTTTAATGGCCTGTCAACAGCTACATGTGTTTACCAATTCCCCAGGAAAAGGGTATTGTATCTGCAGTCTTCAGCACCTACTGAATATTCAGTGTTCATATGCAAGCACAGCAGGGCAAAGTAAGGCAAATGTATCAAACATGAAAGTGTACTAAAGCATTTTGTTACATTTGCAAAATACCTGTGGATCAAATCAGAAATTCAGGGTTGTCTTGTGCTCACACTCTATGTTATCTCAAGGAGTCTATTTAGCCTTCCTAGTTGTCATTTTAGGAGTACAAAATTATTAATCGTATTAATTGTGTGTTGTGTAGAATCGGATGGGGATTGGTTTGAGTAGCTAGCAAAAACTAATTGGACAGTGCTGACACCACAACCCACAAAAATGCTGTGTGTTGTCCGTCCACAACTGGTATTTTTATGCACTTGCAAGGTCTCCCAAGGGATGAAACATCAGGGAATGTGCATGTATTGTAGAGACATAGTGCATATGTTGTTTTTCTATTTTGCCCTGACATACAGTTTAAGCAATAGATTGGAGGTGCTTTAAATGCACAGTGGCTAAATGGTTAGCACTTCCACCTGGCAGTACTAGGGTTGCTGGTTTGAATCCCAACCATGGCACCACCTGCCTGGAGTTTGCATGTTCTCCCTGTAACTGTGTGGGTTTCCCAGGTATTCCCCTCCCACCTTCAAATACATGCTGATAGGTTAATTGGCTCCTGTCTAAATTGGCCCTAGTATATGTATGTATGAATGTGAGTTAGGGACTTTAGATTGTATGATCCTTGAGGGTTAGGGACTGATGTGAATGTACAATATATGTGTGTAAATTGGTGGCACAATAGAAGTACCTGAAATAAATAAAATAAATGCTTCTCTAATGTATCCAAACTCCTACTATTAATGTGAATGGGGCAGCACAGTGGCCGAAACCAAACTTCAGGATGCACTTAGTCGAAAATCAAAACTGAAAATGGACATTTTTTTAAATGTTTTTCAATATAGAATTGTATTATATTAGACTTTCTAATTATTAGCATGCATTTAAATGAATATGAATTTAAAAATTACAATCCAGTAATGTAAAATAACTTTTATTGAAAGTAACACACACAAAATTGGACAGAAAATAAAATGAAATATGAATAAAATAAAAAAAATTTTTAATATGTTGTAAACATTTTGTATTGAAGTCAATAGGGGATATTTTTGCATTGAAGTCAATATGACACGAGTTTGCATTGACGTCAACGGGACACGAGTTTGCATTGAAGTCAACGGGACATGATTTTGCATTGAAGTCAATTGGTCACGATTTTGTATTGAAGTCAATAGGATGTGTTTTTGCATTGAAGTCAATGGGAAGCGATTTTGCATTTAAGTCAATGAGACATAATTTTGCATTGAAGTCAATAGGGGGGATTTTTTTCACTGAAGTCAATGGGAAGAGTTATCATGATCAGCACTTTTTTTGTTTTTCTATCAGCAAAACGCTGATAACCCTATTTTCGGATGATAATTTTCGGTGGCCGATATCGGTTCATCACTAGTAACAACTCCATATGTGCCATATTTTCACTTTGAAGCTATGTCAAAGTGATGGGGCGTGGAGTCCAGAGCATGAAAAACAACAAATCTATTGGCTCATTGTTCTTGGTTAGAGATGTGCCTTCTCTAATGTATCCCAAACTCCTACTACTAATGTCAATGGGGCAGCACAGTGGCTAAATGGTTAGCACTTCCACCTGGCAGTACTAGGGTCATTGGTTCAAATCCCAACCACAGCACCACCTGCCTGGAGTTTGCATGCTCTCCCTGTGCCCCCATGGGCTTCCTACACGTACTCCTACCTCCTCCCACACCCCAAAGACATGCTTGTAGGTTAATTGGCTCCTGTCTAAATTGGCCCTAGTATGTGTATGAATGCATGAAGGTTAGGGACCTTAGATTGTACACCCCTTGAGGGTTAGGGACTGATGTGAATGTACAATATATATGTAAAAGCACTGCAT